TACTGTATCTTATAATTTTGTTTAAAAAAAAAAACCTATAGAAGTAATAATGTAGAAGAATGATTATTATTTATGCACAATTTAGAAAGCTTAAACATTTTTCCATGTTTCTCTTTTCCAACAAATACAAAATGAAAATCTTTTCACAAATAAAGGAAGAACAATAAAATATGATGAATGAACTTAATGGTAACACTTTGGTTTCTTTTTTATATGTTTTGCCAGGTCCCGGGGGAGAAGCGAAAAGAGTTATCCAGTCTGAATTGTTTTCATGTAAGCAATTGTTAAAGGACCACTATAGTGTCAGGAATCCAAACTCGTTTTCCTGGCACTATATAATCCTTAGGTGCCTCCCACCCTCAGAGCCCCCCTGTCGCTGGGCTGAAGGGGTTAAAACTCATTCAGCCACTTACCTTTATCCAGCGCAGGCGCTGGTGACCTCTCCTCACCCTCCGACGTCAGCTCCCGAGTGGACTATGCTTTCCTACGGACATGGGGAAACTAGAGGCAATAGCATACACTTAGTAATATGGTTACACATTATTTAGGTGGTATAGAAAAAAACAGTAAAGGTGGTGGAGTATGTCAACCATGAGTTAAAGCCAAATATTAACCCCTTAAGGACACAGCTTCAGAAGCTTGTCTTACCCTTAAGGACACAAGCAATGTTTGCATGTGTTGCTGTTTGTGTTCAACTGCAATTTGCATCTCTCTCATTTATTGTACCAAAATATACTATATATTGTTGTTTAGATGACAAAAAGGGCTTCAATTTGATGTGACAAACATACATAAATTCTCATTTATTATTAATAAAAAAAGCAAAATTATGGAAAACAAACAAAAACAATCCCTTTTTTTAAAGTTTTGGCAATAATAACGTGTGCATAATATGTCCAGCTAAGGAAAAGTAATTCAAAATCAATGAATTTACGTGTCTTGTTTACAGAGTACATCATATGTGTAGGATTTCAGTTTATTTTGAAAGTTAAAGGTCACAAAATACAAGGACTAAAATAAAATTTTAATGTGAAACAATTATAGAAGTTGGTATGATTGTTTTGGAAGTTTAATACCGATCACAGTAAACAAATTGCCACAGAAAAGTATATATTTATATAAAGTAGACATCACAGGCTATTTCCCTAAGGCTATTTTGACACTTATTATGTAGCCATTTCACCTCCAATCTCTGCTGAATATTGGAGTAAAATTGTGTGTTTTCTCTCTTTTTGCATATACACATATAACAAGGTGTATTTTGTAAAGCTGGTGTGTGCTATTCTTTTTCAGAATCACATATTGTGTTCAGCTATATCTGCTGAGTCCAACAATACCCCCATTGTATGCCTTTGCACTATTCTGTGAAGCTACAATGCCATATAGGAGACCATGCTATTTTAATTTCTATAGTTAGAATTTTCATAATTGGTCCTATGTCTGATTTTGTGGCATTATAGCAGTTTGACTGTTCAAATAACCTCACAAAGGCCTCCCATTTGAAAATGAAGACACTCCAGGGTATCTTATTAGGTAAATATTATACCTTGACTTGCCTCCATTTTTGTCACCATTCTATTTAAAATTTTGTGGTGAGAAAAAAAAATATGACATCTTTTACATACATGCCACATAAGTGCCACTTTCATAAATTCCCCCTAAGTAAGCTCAGTTACCTCTTCTTAGTAAAACAATATGCCCAATGTATGACCTAGGCTCTATTTTGTGAAGTTACAGTGCTGTAAAAGAGAGGACCTGGGGGACCTGGCACCCAGACCACTTTATTGAGCTGAAGTGGTCTGGGTGCCTATAGTGGTCCTTTAACAATTTCTGTATTCAGATGCCTTAAAGTCCGACTGTGTAAGAGTGAGAAGATCCGAGATAAGATGAGGTGAGTATCACAAGCCAGGGCTATAGCCCAGAAGGCCATTCGAATGGTGTGTAAAGGACACGTCTAGCATGGACCAGGGGGAATTAATGGAAAGATAAGTAATTAGCACAAACAGACACAACAATTTAGCAATGAACACTAAAGAAAACAGAGATTATATAGCCAGGTAGTTAAAGGTGCATTACACATGAAAAGTAAATAGGCAGATATGACAATTTTTACCAAATGCAGGAATTCTTTTTCCACTCTTTTCCCTTTTTAGTGAGCCGTACTGTTATTAATTATGAATTTGATCTATTTTTTGTCTCATTTACCAAATTGCATTTTTTCTTTTTATGCTAACATTTGCGACACTCTGTGATATTTTACGTCTACACAGAATGAACGAATAAGTGAATTTTTTTTTAATAAATTAAATAATTAGAATTTTTAGGTTTGTGTGAGAAGCAATCTACACACAAAGTTACAATTTTGTTTTATATGCATTGCTTGTTTCAAATACATGTTATCCTAATATTTTGCTCAAAGAAAATATACTTGGTAGTAAAAAGTTTAAATAAGTGAAATGTTTTTAAAATAATAATAATTTTAACGTATTTACAAATTCTCAAAATTAGCATCAAATCTGAAAGAAAGATGGAAATCTAAAATAGATTTGGAAGATTACAGAACAAAACAAATTTAAGGCAAATGTGTTGTACATTTACTACTTTTTTGGCAGATGTAACACATTTCTTCACTTTATCAATAATTGTATAATCTATCTTTCATTAAAACACCACTTTGGTAAGTCAGATAGATTTAATAAAATGCATTGCGTAGTCAAATAGTTGTTTTGAAATAAGCAATTAATTAATTGAGTAATGAGAGTAAAAAAATATGTTATTATAAAGAAACTAAATTAGAACTATAAAGGTAACTACCATGGTGAGTCACAAAAAAAGTTGATTCCTAGAGTTGAGCGAGCCCGGACTGTAAAGTTCGGGTTTGCACCGAACATCACGTTTTTTGGACCCTGGACCTGAACACAGACATATCAGTATATGTTCGGGTTGGAGTTCGGTGTTCAGCGATTTAATGGCACGTTTTCAAAGGCTGCAGGGCAGCCAATCAACAAGCGTTTGACTCGTGTGCCCTTAGAAGCCATCACAGCCATGCCTACTGATGGCATGGCTGTGATTGGCCAGTGCAGCATGTGACCCAGCCTCTATATAAAAGCTGGAGTCACGTAGCGCTGCACGCACATGAGCTCTTATTAGTGTAGGGAGAGGATGCTGCTGCTTTTTAGGATTAGGAAAGAATTCTTCAAACTAGTACATTAGTGGGGTGCACTTCATATCTGAGCGTCAAATAGAAGCGTCAAATACTGCGCTTACAGCGCAGTTGTAAACATTCTAATTGTTTTGGTGCTAAACTGCTAAATAGTAAATTTGGGGGCCTGCTCTTCATATCTGAGAGTCAAATAGAAGCATCTAATAGTGTGCTTACAACGCAGTTGTAAAAATTTGAATTTTCTGGGTGCTAATCTGTTAAATAGTACATTTTGGAGCGTGCACTTCATATCTGAGAGTCAAATAGAAGTATCTAATAGTGTGCTTACAGCGCACTTGTAATCATTCTAGTTGTTTTGCTGATAATCTGCTAAATAGTACATTTTGGGGCCTGCTCTTCATATCTGAGAGTCAAATCGAAGCGTCTAATAGTGTGCTTACAGCGCACTTGTAAACATTCTAATTGTTTTGCTGTTAATCTGCTAAATAGTACATTTTGGGGCTTGCTCTTCATGTCTGAGAGTCAAATCGAAGCATCTAATAGTGTGCTTACAGCGCATTTGTAAACATTCTAATTTTCTGGGTGCTAATCTGCTAAATAGTACATTTTGGGGCCTGCTCTTCATATCTGAGAGTCAAATCGAAGCGTAACTTTGATTAGAATTTACTACATCCGTCACTTGTAATATTGTTTCACACCTACAACACTTGTTACACAGATCTAAGTGATAGAAAACAAACTGATATTTTCTACACTAGAAACTACCAGATAACAAGCTGCTATATTTAAACCAGTTATCAATAGCTAAACAATAGCTTAAACAATATTGTAATTCTGGGGCAATACCCTCACAATTTAAACTGAGAGGTCAATTCATAGGGAATAATGTTGCCTGGATACAATTCTAAAACATTTTCCATATGTCCTTTGCAGACTTTACATGCTGAAAAAACACAGGTGCCAACTGCTGTGGCTTTCTGCAGTGTGCATACCGGCAAGGAGGGCAGGGTTGAGGAGTGGGTGGAAGATGATGTGGAGGATGATGAGGTCCTAGAAACCACATGGAATCGAGGTCATGCGAGTGATGTGTGCAATTTGGAGGAAGAGGCGCTGGTCAAACACAGAGGCTCCAGCACAGCATAAAATGGAGCAGGGTGCAAAAGCGGAGCAGCCGTTCCTTAGCGTTCGTCGGCATGTATTATCTTATAATTCCCACAGTTACCCAAGTAACAGTTGAAGCGGTAAAAAGAACCATAACAGATTTAATGAGCCTTTCGCAGTCCGGTGACCGGGACCCAGACACAGTCTGGGCGGCAGTCGGACCCAGTATGCCTGATGTAGAAGTTAGGAGTCACAGTGTGGAATGGATTAGCAGGGTCTGGTGCAGGGTAACCACACACCCCCTGGTGTTGAGCACCAGCGTTTGTGCTGCCACATCCCAGGACCCTGATGCAGCTTCAGTAAAAAGAGTACTGGATACTAGAAGCCATCACCAGACTGATCCGCAACTTGCAACAGGATGTGACATTCACTGTAGCGGCTGTGCACGCTTTCGGCGTTCTCACCCTGCTGCTGCTGCTCACCTGTCTGCGCTGCAGTGTAACTTTGGCCTTCCCACTCACTACCTCATATGCGACGTGCCAACAAGGTGGAACTCCACCTTGCACATGCTGGAGAGACTGTTTGAGCAGCAGCAGGCGATAGTGGAGTTTCAGCTGCAGCACGCACGGGTCAGTGGCTCTGCCCCAGACTCCCCTCCAATTGATCAGAGTTAAAGGATTTCAAGTGGACTCATTACAATTACAGGGCCTCTAAAAAGTCCTGTATTGTTATTTGTCGTCACTACCTTCCCGCGTTGGGAGTGGGTCATTTGCGCGCCTGCTGCCTTCCTTGCATGTGGTAGCCGTTTGTCAGGGTCCCTGCACGGAATTGAACCCTGATTCCGTGTTACCCATGGTCACCATGGTAGGCGCAGTCAATGGCATCAAAAGTTGATATGGATTGACATACGAATGTGTCGTCGCCTTCTCATTGGGGAGCACATTGAAAAAGTGCTCTAGCATGACGAGCTGGGTAATCTCCTCCGGGAACTTTGCGTGATGGGAGTTGAGCCAGTTCTGGCTATCCCTTGTGATGCCATGGTGTATACCCAGATCAGAGCTGCTGCAGAAAGTGCGGGCTGTCTGTGCGCACTTTTGGCATTCTCACCCTGCTGCTCATCTGTCTGCGCGTAACTTCGGCCTTCCCGCTCACCGCCTCACGAGACTGTGCAAACAGCAGCAAGCGATAGTGGAGTTTCAGATGCAGCACACACGGGTCTGTCGCTCTGCGGAACAGTTTTCTTTTTTTGTATGTCCCAATATTTTGAGGGCTACTCCAATTAAAATAAAAAAAAAAGATATATATATAAACAGTGTTGGCTCCCTCCTCCTCCTCCACCGCTGCTTCCACCTACACCGCCACGGTCACCACCTCCTCAACCTATGGGTCAGTCAATTAGTATAAACTATGTACACAATAGCAGAGGCTTGTGAAGGGCTTTTCTCCATGCATCAGGAGTTGAGCATTTCTCCATACATCAGGATTGCAAGAAATGCACCGTAGGCCGCAAATGTTTCTTTTTTTTGTATGTCCCAATATTTTGGGGGCTACCCCAATTAAAATAAAAAATATATATGTAAATAAACAGTGTTGGCTACCTTCTTCTCCACCGCTGCTTCCACCTACACCGCCACGGTCACCGCCTCCTCAACCTATGGGTCATGTATAAACTATGTACACAATAGCAGAGGCTTGTGAAGGCCTTTTCTCCATGCATCAGGAGTTGAGCTCAGTTTAAACAATGAAAGAGAATACCCTGCACTCCAACCCTCTCTCAAATGGATAATTATGGTGATCCTCCTGACAGCCATGCTTTAGATTTTGATTTATGTTCTTCCAAAGCTAAAATCAAAGATTTCATCTAGTGCTATTTTATGGCTCAGCTGTTTTTTTTATTTTTATGTTATTTTAAGTGATTTCCCTATCCACATTTGTTTGCAGAGCCCTTGTGCTACTCTTATCCCCATTTTACTTCCTTTTGCAGCCCTCTAGCCCTTTCCAGGAGTTTTTTAGAGGCAATTTTGTGGCCAAAAGTTTGGGTCCCCATTGACTTGAATGGGGTTCAGGGTCAAGTTCGGGGTCAAGTTCGATCACGAACCCGGACTTTTTTCCAAAGTTCGGACGAACCCTCCGGACCCGAACATCCAGGTGTCCGCTCAACTCTATTGAATCCCTTTTAGCATTTTGTGCCAGATTTAAAAAAGACAGACTTAGTTACAATTATTGTAATTAGAAACACATTATTACGTCTACTCATGTAAAGGAAAAAGGTGCAAAAAATTTAATTCCTTTTTTCAAATGAACGTTATTGCAATCAGGCTTACCATAGACCATGCCATTTCCTTCTAAAAACTGTAGAGCAAGAAATTAGTCCTTGTGAAAACTTTAAAAATTAGTTCCATTCATAAGTATTAAAAATGAAGTCCTTTGTCTGAGGTAAAATAAGTCAGCAGGCAGAATATGTATGTATATATATATCAGTTCCACTCTATGCAATATGTTCCAATTTCCCAGAGACATCCATCAAGTTCTGAAATATCGAAGCAAACTATGAAGACACTCAAGAACCTCTTTTTTATTCACTACTTTCTTTGCTGTTATTCTTTCAATGCAATTTTTTATAGCATTTTTTATGTATTCTGTACATGCAATCTAGTATTGCTACATGTGATTATTCAGGGCTCAAATCCTGCAGGAACGCGTGGGAATGCCGTTCCCGTTGCTCCTGCAGGAACACCATTCCCGTTGCTCCTGCAGGCACTCAGGGGCAGCAAAAAATGACACAGGTCCCTCGCCGCGTCTGACCGGGAGATAGCCGCCTTCCGCACTGAAGCCCCACTGGACCCCAGGGACAGGTCCACACCAGCTCTCCAGGTAGGGATGCTGGGTAGACTTTTTCTAATTTAAAAAAATAATAATAATTTGTGTGTTTCTGTGAGTGTATGTGTGTGTGTCTGTGAGTGTGTGTGTGTGTGTATGTGTGTGAGTATATGTGTGTATACCACCCAAGCAAAGGTGCCCCCACCGGCTTCCTGAGCCCTTAACACCCCCACCCAAACAAGTGTGCCCCCCGGCTACTCCATCCCCTGTGTCTCCTGTTTTGTCGACTGGCCAAGGATGATAGGAGTTGTCCGCTGAGTCAGTCGTGGCTTTACCTCCTGGATCTCCCTGGGGACCTGGCTGGCTTCTGGGGAGGAGAGCCAATTGTGCTCTCCCCATGCTGCTGCAAAGCGGTACTGGCTAGACCCGGCTTGGAGGCCTGGGAGCGCATTGAGCTAAATCCCCTAACCATGTAAGAGTTCAGGATCGGCTGAAGGAAGGGAACCAGTGGGAGCACTATACTATACTATACTATAATATCCTAAGCTCATATCCACAGAGCTGCTTATGTTTCCACCATTTTAGTGACCGCAACCACCAAGAACCAAACTATATCCATAGGCGGGGATTGTTCCGCCCAGGCATTCAAGTTGGAGCTACAACTTTAGCTCCAGGAAATTGTCAGTGTATTTATTTTGTTTTATTCTATTTATTTGGACAGTGGCATACTACACTATGTATTTTCCTTTTTTTTCTTTTTCTCCCTGCTTTTATATATATTTTTTAAGGACACTTTAGGCGCTGCACCCCTCCTTGTACTTTCAACCTTTAGCTACCTCACAACACTTAAGTTACTCGAATATAACCGTTCACATTTTCAGGTCATTCTAAAAGAATACGTGCTGCTCCCACTACCTCTAGTAATATCCCAGTTCATATTATCTAATGGCTGGGGCAGTAGAGTCAGGGCCGGCGCTACCTGTAAGGTGACCTAGGCAGCCGCCTAGGGCGCACCTTAACAGGGGGCGCCGGATCCCTGCGCCCGGAGTCACCGCGGATTTGAGTGACCGGCAGGAAGGAAACGCAGAGCGCTCCCTCCCGCCGGTCTCTCAATGTAGCGTGGCCGGGCGCGGCGGAACGTGGGACAGGAACCTCTGTTTCCTGTACCCGGCGGACTGGCAAGAAGTGCTCACTGAGTGAGCACTTCCCTTCAGTCCGCCGGCGGCAGGGTACAGGAAACAGAAGTTCCTGTCCCGCGTTCCGCGCCGCCTGGCCACGCTACATAGGCAGGAGGGGGGGGTGTGAGTAAGGACGGGAGGGGAGTAAGGAACACCAAGGGAGGGGGAGGGTGAGGACAGGGGGGAGGGTTAGTAAGGACCAGGGGGAGGAAGACCACCAGGGGAGGGGAAGGGGAGTAAGGACCGGGGGGAGGGTGAGAGTAAGGACCAGGGGAGGGGAGGGAGGGTGGAGGTGAGGACCAGGGGAGGGAGGAGGGTGAGTAAGGACCAGGGGGAGGGAGTAAGGATCAGAGGTGAAGGGGAGGGTAAGGGCCACTGGGGGAGGGAGAGTAAGGACCAGAGGGGGAGTAAGGACCACCGGGGAGGAGAAGGAGGGGGGTGTAAGGACCACTGAAGGAAGAGGGGGGAGTAAGGACCACAGGTGGAGGAGAGAGATGGGGCGAGTAAGGACCACTGGGGGAGGAGGGGGAGTAGAGGACCACTGGGGAGGAATGGGGAGTAAGAACCACTGGGGAAGGGGAGTAAGGACCACTGGGGAGGAGGGGAGTCCACTAGGGTTTGGGAGAGGGAGGACCACTAAGGGGGAAAGGACCACTAAGGGGAAAGAGGATAATGACCACTGGGGGGGATTACCACTAAGGGGGTGGGGGGAGGAGGGGAATGTCTACTAAGGGGTTTGGGAGAGGGAGAGCCACTAAGGGGGAAGGGGGGAGTGAGAAGACCACCAAGGGGGGACTACAGGGGGCCAAGGTAGAGCACTAAGGGACAGAAGGGGAGAACATGGAGGGACAGGAGGGAAGGGGAAATCAATAATTGACAGGGGGGGAGAGCACTATGAAAAAAATAAAAAAAATAAAGAGCTGCTCCCCTCTCAGTCTCTATCCTACCCCACAAACCCTCTCTTTTACACTACACACATACACAATGCATCCCCCCCACACACACACACAGAAACATACAATGCATTCCTACTCACACAAAGACACACCCGAAACACACAATGCATCCCTTACGTTCACACAAACACTCATTCTCTTACACACAGAAACAAAATGCATCTCTTACACAATCAATGCACCCCTTACAGACACACTGCATTCAATTAAATACACAGAAACACACCTTGCACCCCTTACACACACACACACCCAGAAACATACAATGCATTCCTTACACGCAAACACACACTGCATCCCCTATAAACACACTACATCCCTTACACAAATTGGTATCCCTATACACTACATTCTATAAGAACACACACACATTGCATCCTCTACAATAACACATAAAACATCCCCTATATACATACACTCCAATTCCTGTGAGAGAACTCATGGGTGGGCCATGTAGCTGGATTTATGGGTGGGCATTGTAGGCATACTCATGGTCAAGCCCTGGGCACCCAGACCTTGAGCTGTGTAAGGGGCCCTAAAAAATGGAGCTGCTTCCTGTTCGTTAATTGTTGTGAGCACTGTTAAAAACAGTCTCCTGAGAGCCTCTTCTACACCAGACCTGTGGAGCCAGACAGAGCCCATCATCAGCCTCTTGTCCTCATCTGGTGGTAAGTAGGCAATCCAATATATTATTAGTGGCACTAATCTCTAATTTACCTCACATTAAATGGATACTATAGTCACCAGAAGCACTACAGCATAATGTAGTGGTTCTGGTGTCTATAGCCTATGCCTGTAGGCTTTTTAATGTAAACACACTGTCTTTTCAGATAAAAGACACTTTGTGAAGACTGTCGTTGGCCCATATGGCAGAGCATATGGGCGGGGTATTGTGATGTCACATGGTGGGCAGGACAAATGGGGGGGGGGTGGCAAACGTTTTTTTTGCCTAGGGCGGCAAAAATCCTTGCACCGGCCCTGAGTAGAGTCATCTGTATATACCATATATATCCCTCAAC